ACAGCGCTTCAGTTTGAGCGTGTGGTAGATAAAGCCGTATTTTACCTGATCACTGTAGGCAGCGTTGTTAGATAGTTATTCTTTAGGAAGGATGATTCCACCGAGGTAATAGAAGCTCGTTTCATAAGTGCATTCAAACCTACTCTTCTACGATTTACTTGCAAAGACATTGAACTGAGTTTGTAGAGGCAGCCAGTTAGGCCAGTTAGGCAAATCATTTCGTAGCCCGGAGCGGAAGGAGAGACAACGATTGCGTTCAGGTTCATTTTTCTTGAATGCATCTTGGCTTTCAGGCTAACATTATGTCCTTGGTTCAGTTTCATTCGGAAAATACAAGTCGATGCCATTTTAATTCTCACAATATACCCCTCGTTTTAGTTTCGGGAAGACATTACGGCGATTTTATTCAGTATGTTGTCCTTCAAATCAACCAATTATTATTCCCCAAAAGCCGATGAAAAAGTGCAACATGATCGTTCATTTAATTCAGTTGCGCATCCGGCGTTACGGAAAATATATCTATTCAATCAGTCATAGTATACAATTTCCTACTACTCATTTTGAAGACCAAAATCATGGTGGGCAAAGCTACACATTCCCATAGATGGCTAACACTCCGTCATTCAAAATGAAAACGAAATGGAATGCAGTCAAAGTGATTGAAAGTCATGTGTTTGGAAAGACACATCACCTAGACCATCGTTATAACAACCGGAGTAGCCTGTCTGTGTGCGGCACCACAAGGTGAAAGCGAATTATTTTGGCTTTCAATTAGCTTGATAATGACTTTATAATCTGTTGGTTGGTTGACAAAGTCATTAATCCCTGTACACGGAATTCCCCACTGCTATCAGCAAGCATCAGTGTGTGCAGTTCTTGAATCCATGGAAACAGAAGCTCGGAAACAAAAGAGACGTCTTTCGTTCGTGGTGAGTAAATTACTTTAGTTCACGAAGGCAATATCTGGTATGACATCGTTTCTTAAGATTTATTTCCTTAAAGTGAAGTAAATCAAATTCCTGAGGTGTGAGCTTACCGTGACGGCTTCATATACGTGATTACAGATCAGTTTCTATGATTTTTCTAATTTCATGATCGTATCTATTTAGATGGCACTATTTGAGCATATTGCTGACTATATACCTCTGCAGAAAGAGCTATCCTCACCCCTTAGGGCAGAGGAAATGAATAGCTTTGAACACCATAGTTTGTTCATTTTCGTTGTATTACTACTCTGACTACTAATGAGTAGGTATATACAATGGTTGATAATGATAAAGTAACCCACGTGACTCCCATGACATTTGATATTTTGTCGATTCAACACGCCTTTGGTAGTTGTTTGATCAAGAAATTCTGCAAGCATATTTTGGCAACGTAAGAAACAAAGTTTTGAGAAATAATATGGTAATTTCATATTGCATTACAACGTGACGACCTAGTCTCAGAGCACCAATATTTATCAGAATAGGAAGTTTATTTTCGTTTAGCTTCATACGTTTCTATACTATCGACGCCTTGGTTGGGTCAGGATACCTCGCACGATACATCTCCGGTGACTTTGGCTGCCCGACAGAAGATCCTGTGAAATGATCCGACTACCTGATGCTCTCTGAGGGATATCAAAAATCAAATAACGATTTTAAGTGGTAAATGACTGAAATACGATTAAAAACGAAGTCACCAACAAAGTAAGAGATGAATAGGAACATAAAATGGTTGAACACTACGAATTTAACTATTACTGGCCGAATTTGGCTTTTTTATGTAGAAAATTTGTTAGTCATTTGCACATGACGACTGATTGGAAACAGACTTTCACGAGATCACTAACGTGTAAAATGTACAGTACACATCAATGACGATGAGTAAAACAGTTGTAGATGAATGTTTCCAACTTCCTAGATAATTAGGTGCACTACTTATTCACTTCTATCGAAATTCAGTTATTCATTGGAAAATAACAATTAAATCCATAGCGATATATTGATTTTAATTATTCGAAATAGAAATAAGTATAGAACCAGAAGAAGATTTGATGGTTTTTGCAGAGACCAATTACCACGTGACAAATAAGGTCATCCTTATGAACGAAGAAGGTAGAAATCTTTGTGATGATCGACAAAGAGGAGTGGACGGCTGTTTCCTCGTGTTTGAGACTCGTCAATGATGCCTACTTTTTATGTCCTATCAGGACTCGAATGGCAAAAATTCGGGTTGGGATCGATACCCTACACAGCTGTCGGCTGTACCCTTGTGAGAATTACTCAATCAATTTATATGGTACATGTTAGGATTGCTCCACTTAGGTTTTTAAAGTCATTTAAAATGCGTTTATCTGGTGGGAAATTAACAGTTTCCTATGGATTGAAACCCACACCCAAGACCATTAACAGTGCCTAATAGGCGATTTAGTTTATTTTCATCAGCAATCTAAAAAGGTTGGTATATAACAGAAGCCTAATCAATGGCTCCTGTTTTGGTACAAATTGCGACAATATAGTGCACACTGGATCAAAAGGAAGTTGTTGACTGGATCGGCGTGGTTTTTTGTGCTACGCTATAATCTTAGGCAACTTAGGATTTCGAAACCATTTGGACATGGTTTGACAGCTCGATCTTCTTTACAATTTCCTATTACGTAAGGTCCCTGAGATAGGTTTGTAGTTGGGTAACTGTTCATGGGGGGAGGGTGGTCTATGAAATACGAATGAATGAACCCAATTGCGGATTGTGTCCATTCGTTAACTATAAGCGTTTGTACTCAAATATGCTCATTGTGCTTTCAATAAGCTCGATGATGACCTTGATAAAAGTGAATACATAGAACACCTCATGGATACTGGTTTCTTAGATTCTGAAAGATCTAAATTACTCCAATGGCTTCCCTTAAATCAAATTACTGCATTTTCGGAATGTGAAAAAACTGAGAGGTGATAATATTTTTCCAGATAAGTTGATAACTTATATTGTGCGCCTTAAAGAAACAAAAGATTCGCATGAGAAATATCTTCAGATCCTTTTTTGTTCTAGTTTTTTGTGCGATCTAATCGAAAATTCCGTGCACCACAGGAACCATATTTGTCATCGTGGTGTGGGTACAGCGGATTTAAGCTGATTCAACAGAACTCACTTGATTTCAGTTCATTGTAACGTCTTTAATTTCACCACGAAAAATTCATTATCATCTTTTCTGTCATTATGAATATCATTGTTATCGTTACTACTGTTATTATTAATTTTTCAAAATTACTGGTGCACCATACTGCGTTGTTATTCTACATTATTCGGATATTGGTATTCACTTCAAGTACAATCTCGCAATATGAAGCCTAAAAATTGTAGCTGAATCATACGCCAAATTTGCGGTCACAAATCCAAATGTTTAGAATTATGTGATTTTGATGGGCATCTGTCTAAGACAACATCATGAAAGAATCCAAGAGATATCTTTGGACCATTTCACTAATTAATAAACAGCCGCATAATGCTTTGCGATAGTGATGATAACGTAGATTATGACACCGTGGTGCTTTTGACGCTGACCTTGAAAACTTTGAGAAGGATTTTCGTCGTCAAGGTTAGAGAGCACGAGCAGAGTGGTGAATGGCAGAACGGCGTTTTGTTTTCACACCTCTAAGGGACTGACACCGGACAACATATATTAGGATGGTAGAGAATGTAAACAACGCGAGTTTACCAGTTCCGGTATGCCAATTGAAAACTACGTTTTGTCTCTCCATGCTTGCACATGTTGATCCATGGAAAATGCGGGTTTTCCTTTCTCCCTCTCTCACGGTAGTGATGATTAGATGAATTTATCTGTGCCTTAAAGTAATTCGTGGAAAGTGTCTGGGATATTAAAGTAGCTTGCATAATTGTGGAATTAAAAGCCATTAAACTAAAATAATCTATCAAATTTATCCACACAGCACTTCCCTCACTTCCCAGACAAACCCACGTAACCATTAGTGAAAGTAGAAGGGAAGTAACTCCGATAAAACTGTGGTTCAGTACTGGTTGATACGCTTTCATATTAATTCGCCAAACAGTCCTGAATGCTGCACAAGGGGGTGTTTCCATGGCATCGGTTCGTACACCCAAAAGCCCAGTACCACTAAATTCGATCGACTTATTACCTGATGCATATGATCTGATGAAACAAACAGAACACATGCAGTTTTTGTACGTATTTCGGCTTCCGTCATCAAGGAATCAGGAAACGGGAAAAGACGTGGCCGTTGAAGCGATACAGCGGTGTGTGTGGGTGGGTGAGGAGAGAAGTATCGAAACGGGAATTCGATGGAGCAGTCAGCGAAGAATCTTCTTACACATTGCTAAACAAAAGTTTTAATTCCATTGTACCATATGTTCACGCATGCATTCGAAAGAAACGGAATGAATATAAAATTTATTTTTTTTCATATTTCTTAGATGGAAAAAAGTTTATTTGTGTCAAGAACAAGATAACAGACAAATAGCCGACTACGACCATAAGCAGTAGAGCGGAGTGAAATAATAATAATAGTAGGATTAGATCTAGTGAAATAAACGACATCGATGAGGACGATAGTAACAACGAGTCGGGTGAAAGACTGTGAGCTTTATCCACAATAGATTATATAAAAGTAACACATATCAGAAGATGGTGATCGGTTGGTGGTATCTCGCAATCAACAGAACCCGTCTCACCAGGGTGGTGAAGATTGACACTGGTCATTTAAAACAGAGATGAGCATACAACTTTTGGATTGGTCCGATGTCGAACAGAGGCACAGCGAACCAGTCCATATTGAGGAGCCGAACAAGAAAGGAGGTGAGGGACAAGTTCCTTGCTTGTGAAAAATAAGAAATGATGGTTGATGGTGCCTTGGCGAGGGTGGTACACGGGGGGAGGGAGAATAGGTACCAACGGGCTTATTTTCAGCTGTATACTTCAACGATAGGCAAGAACGGAGTGTGAACACACGGGGGTGCGTTTTTTCGGGGTGGGGGTGGGGTTATTTGCAACAGGCAGCGAGAGGCTTTTTCTTCGGAGGTTCTTCCTTCAAAGCGACTGTGCCGATTTGCTCGTCCTCACCAAGTTTCATTTCTCTGTGCATTTGGAATGTAGAGAATAGAATAGCATAAGGTTGTTCTGCCCATATACTGTTCGTAAAATTGTGTGTTAGCCGATAAGAGAGCATCGAACAACTGCTTCATCCTGTCTAGAACGCATAAGCAGTGCGTATTGTTTTCGGTTCCTGGTGGAATTCGAAATGTGAATCTCTTCGGTTGCGAGTTGATACCCCGTGATCTGAGCCGCATGATCGATGACTTGCACTCATGGATGCATCGAGTGAACACACGGTTGTCTTTACTTCAGGTTTGTCTATCCACTGACACGGAGTATATGTGATGCTGTGGTACGCACTGCCCAGGAGCCCCGAAAAGCGTGAAGCAGTTATCCAAGCCTCTTTGTCGGTGTTTGCGGAACAGTCTTCGGAGTAATTTTTATACTTTTGCAGGAGACACTTGGTGATGTATAAAGATCTGGCTAATATATGTTATATAGATATGCATGTTTATATATACATTGGGTCATCTTCACATTATCTATGCAGTGGGGTTGTGAAATAATACAATGCAAGAGAATATTCTCCTAACACCCGGTATTTTTTAATTGCTAACTGAAACCGCAGACAACTTAAATAAGATTGCTTGTTACCAGTATCAATTACGGACTGGATAATAAGATGCCGATCTGGTGCACGAAAATACTTTCAGCAGTATACTTGATGGATTAAACAGTCATACAGAAAAGTTCCTCTTTCATATTCTCCGAGTGGCCTGCATTCAGTCACTCAGCTGTGGTCAATGAGTGAGTGAGTGAATGAATGAATGAGTGAGTGAGTGAGTGAGTGAGTGAGTGAGTCAGTCAGTCAGTCAGTCAGTCAGTCAGTCAGTCAGTCAGTAAATAATCTTGCGAAACGACGGCTCACCTTACGAGCAATAGCCCTTAGTTTTCCCAAGAATTTTTTGGATGACTTAAAACGTAAATACCTGACGGGGCTTACAACTACCTTCCACTAGCTGCACTCCACACTGAAGTTGCGCTCATAACATTTGTGGTTATGTCCACGGAAGCAATAAAGGAAAATTTCTATAACAGGATATATTTACACTCGAGCAGAGCCTTTTGGAACAGAGTAGTCTTGTATTAACACTTCTCGGGAATTTGTGTTTATCAGGCTGGGTTGCGGAACACAAGTAGAAGCGTTTTGAATTTTATTTGAAAATACATCAAGTCTTTGCAACTTTCGTCAGGTTATCTATGTGTATTAAGCTATAGTTCTTCATAATGATATTATTGGAACAAATACTAGTGGGAAATTGGGATAACAATTAGGTGACATTGATGCTTATTCAAATTTAGCGTAAATGTAATGGTTCAATAATCCATTCACATTTATTTTCTTGTCAACACTTACCGGGACAGAAGTTGAACAGCTTTGTCCACATTCTCTGCTTTGCACACACTGGTCTCGATGAACAAAGCTTCCTGAGACTGGAAGAGGGGAAGTACGGGATTTGGGGGAAGGCAACCAATAGGATAAATAGTGAACAAAGCAAAAACTTTATAAAATTGAATAATTTTTAAAGTCACGATCCAAATCTCGGAGTTTGGTGCTCCTCATGGTGTGCCATGGAATGAATAAATTTGGCAAAAACAGCTTGAACGCATCCTCCGAAGTGAAGTCAGAAGCAGTAAAACACTGCTCTGGTTACTGATGCGATAGTTGGTTACTACATTTTTACTTAGTGTTCCCAAACACAGCCCATTTATTGATCCAAATTAACATCGCATCTGCTAACTGACAGGCTCAACTCAAACGTACAGCCCGAGCAGTGAGAGCCGCGTAGTCGAATAAAGTGAACTGGCTTAACTTACCGTTTCTAGGGTCCAAATGCCCATTTCCAGGTGAATGATTCCGTTCTGATTTACCTGTGAACTTCATGTTACCCATAATTAGAACACGATGCACTCTCCCTGGCCATTGTAGGGTTTTTATCGATTCAGTTTGAATTATGTACATAGGTTTACTTTCCTAACGTAACCCGGGGTAATGTTTCGCGCTAAATGCGGCAAACGCTTTGCAGTCTTCTCCCCATGCTTGGTATTGATCACTCACAATAGCTTCCGCTGAGACTGAACAGATTGAACTCACCTGGGCAAATCGTTGTCCCATTTCAGTGGTCACACAGGAAGCAATATTTTGAGCATTTTCTCCATCGCGCAGATCGATCTTATTGCCCACAATGATGATGGGAGTCTTGTTGGAACCGGAATTCTCCTGATTGTCAATGTTTTGAATGTCCCCAGAGTCGGATGGCCACAGGGAGAGAGAGGATCAGCGAAAGGTAAATATACGTTTGAGGAGATTCTTCAGTTATGAAGTAGATATGATTGATTAAATGTTCGTCACGTTTTCTTTGCTTTTTTGCTTTCTTACATTTAAGTTGTAATTCTAGAATTTTCCGGAAGTGGGAAGAGTTCAATTAAAAGACTGCAACACCGATTTTACTTCTGCTATCCAGGATTATGACTCATTTAGAACCATTCTGGTGCTGATTACTGTCTATTTGACAGACCCAACCGGGTCGAAACAGCGACTTAGTGCTACTCTGGTTTTCAGATCAAGTTTTTTTTTTACTCGGCCCACGACGACTGGTATCTCTGTAGTTGGTTCATCTTAGTACTGCCTTTATGATTAGCTGCATCTCTTATCTGTTTCTTTTTCGATGGATTCGGATAATAATTCCATGTGTTACACCCGCACGTCTCGTTTCAGGGATACACGAAGTTTGTTTTCTGAATAACTGAGTTCCCTGTCCGTTTGTGATCGTTCACTACAATAGTTGTTTACGCAAATAGTTTCAGCACTGGACAACCGTATACGACCGACTGAGGTTGAACAGTGACTCTGTGGATCATCATTCCGACTCATGAACGGAATAACGTAACTAAGCTAATTGGGATTATAGTTAAATGAGTACTGCGATTCTCTCACAACAACGTAGATCTCGCTGTCCCTCTAGTTAGGTCACTCAAAATCCCTGGGCTTTTCACATTCCTGCGCTCGCAGTCCGATCGAAGGTAGTAAGCGTAAGGTGTTATAGTGCACGAGGTAAACTTCAATATCACGAGATGAAAATTCCCGGTTAGGATCAACTACAGTTTAAACATTTATTTCAACAACAGACTATTCTAACTGATCATCGTTTGTCATCAATATATCTCAACTTTTTAAGTTCGTATGTCAAACGGGTTGATTCTATTGTGTAATGTAACGTTCAGTAGTTTGCAAACCAAAACAAAACCAACTTATTTATTTCCACTGTTTGCATGAAAATCAAATCTGTTTAGACAGGCCATCAATAATGAACTAAAGATGAAGACACTTGACTCGATCACAATATCACCACCCCCCTTCTATGGTTCTATTTCATTCGATGATATGAATATTATGAGGTCCGTGATATCGGAGGTGTTCCGATCAGTATAACGCACTGGAAATGAAGTCAGAAATCATCGAAAAATGTCTGTAATCCCCAGTACTAAATCAGTCAGACAGTGATTGGGTTAGCGGCGTCTGTCTACATCAGATAGTTCCGTATGACGCGGTCCACAAAGTCAATCGCCTACTCTATTCAAAGCACTGGGGGTAAAATGTGAAATTATCCCGGTTGCAGTGCTCAAACTATCCCAACTATTTTCCGTTTTATGCCAAATCCTAAAATACATTGCATGCGTCTTCTTTTTCCACAAAGCAAGGATTAATTGTGATCGAGAAATGTGAAATTGCACAGAAGGAACAAATTATTTTGATGTTGTCCTTTACAGTTATGTGTTTGTGTGTCATGAACCCACAATTGGTTCATTGAACAGCTTTTTCTTCCCCGTTAGGACATGTAATCGGCCCCAGAAGTTTTCTTCTCGATGCCGGGACTCGAAATGTGCATGAGCAAACTATACAAAGCACACATTGTCTGTCGAATAGACCAAACAGACTACACATTCGTTCGCAATAAATCAAACATAGTACGGGGGATCGGCGATTGAGGTTTGAGGAGATAAAAACAAACATGTTGGCAATTAACAGTACGCCTTGGTAGCTATTATTTTATTATTATTATCGTTACCAAAAGCTGTAGTACAAGTGGAACACAGATTTGACAGTCTACATCCAATCGAGAAAACCGTAGTCGTATTGTATTTGACTGAAATGCGAGGCAAGAAATCAAGCTTATACTTCGTTCTTGTCAGGTGAATAGTTCACTTCGCCTTCAGTCTATTTATCACTAACAATTAGGCACGTATTACGCAATGATTCCTAGTATCGGACTCGTTTCTATGCTACCCTCCNCCCCCCCCCCCCCCCCCCCGGTACACAGACACAAATTCTAATCCAAGACTGATGGCAGTCATATCTAGCCAAACAGACTTCAGTTTCTTCCGTGAATCAGGGCTAGTGTTAACCATTTTGTTTGAAACACGTTCACCCTCACATGATTTATCACATGATGTGGAATTTTTTGATTTTTTCATTCTGGGGGCACAATTGCAGTTCATTTTTTCCCCTTGAAAAAATCGAATTTCTGTACGGTGGTTCTTTTTAAAACCCTTGATAGTCTATCACACTCCGGATTCTGTGATGCGTTCATCGTATTCGTGTCCGACCGGAAGAGCTCGTTGGTCAAGTCTTACCGCTTGTTTTGCACGTCATCTTACTTGTTACCTCTATCGTTCCACTATTTTCCAACTACACACGAAAGACATACATGGACAAAATGAGGCACCCGATCCGCCCGATCAGTTGCAAGCTAACCTGCTTGATTACGGATAAGTGTCGGGATACCGACAAGGAAAGGGGTTAAGCCCCTTTTCCATTCACAAAATACGGTATTTAACGAGGTTAATTGCTACAAATGGGGGAGGGGACTGACTTTTTACAGCTTTTGGAAAACAGAATTAATTTGTAATCGAAGGAGGACAGAAAAGTGATTTTCAGAGAAGGTTAGTCAATTTATGAAAATGTATGAAAATTTCAGATTGCAGTTACACGATATTATGACGGAGTCCAGTGAAACTTCTTGAGAACACAAAAATGACTCGCTTAAATAAACCGGCATTACTTCATTAAATGATTGAAGTTTCGGATACAGGATCAGGATAGAGGATCAGGTCTCGAACGACACAAAAGCGCATGCAGTCACCATGATATGCTTTCTAGATAATGGCCCCAGATAGAGTTTACCCCTGACAAGCCTCTGAGCTTCCACATCAACAGTGGTTGAACAATTCATCTGCAGTTGTGGGGATTTACAATAGACAAAGTAAACCGGTTTGTTTCATAGAAGTTGTTTCAGCACAATCCGAAATGGTTTCTATGACCAGTGGCAAGAAAACAACCCCTAACATTGACCTGATCAACGAGCTCGGGAACATGGATTAAAAAATATCATCACATACATGACTGGCCCATTTGTTACCCTCAATACGTCGTAATTGAACATGAACTCAAAAGCATGGACATTCTGCGAAGCAGTGTTGTTATTGTCATGCTAATAACCTCTGTAGACATAAAGCCTACGTTTTAGTTACTAAGTTACTCAAATTACATAATGCTGTTTTGCGGACATGAGAGTCATTGATACAGTGAGTCGAATTTCCACAGAGAATAGTTGCGAAACGGCATTTTCCCTGCGGTATCAATTTGTTTTACTATCAAGCGATTGAAAAGATTGAACTAATATGTTCTCTGTAGTAAAAAGTACCATTTTATCTGTTGGTTAATGACCGCGTGCGTAAGTGGTGAGCACGGAAGGTGCCACACTGGAGCCAATGAGTTATCGTGTACCCCGGTGTAGATTCGCATCGGCTTCTAATCTGGTGTTCTCAGCGAGACACAGAGACAGATTCAAGAGCGGTATTTTTAGATCTGAGTCCACGCAGATTTCTACCAGATAGGACATGGTCGATCACATGAGGATTGTACAAAATAACAACGAAACATGAAATAAAAACAATATGCAAATTTAACATGTGACATGTGGCATGAAAATTAATTATGCAGAAACCCCAGTGCGATTGATTGTCGTCCTTAGCCCTAGACTGGACAACACGAATCTTCGATTGAGCAGAAAGCTATTTTGAACATACCTCCACACTCTCCATCCACGAGCGCACATTGCGGAACGATTCGGGACAAGTCACGTCGTAGATAATGATAACACCGTCCACTTTGCGAAAATATGTGCGCACAATACTCCGATATCTGTATGGCACAGTCGGGGACCAGGGAGAACGGGGCGAGGAGTGTGGGGGGGGGGAGGAGGATTGACGGAATCGTAGACCAGAATAAGTGAAAGATTGTCAGTGAACCGATGAGTGAGTGCTTTTCAGTAACTTACATTTCTTCAATAAGGAGATATAAATTATACTCACTTAATTAAACATGTGCGCATAACGTTTTAGAAATTAAGTTTACTTAGTGGCTGACATAATCAATAGAATGCACGGGGCTATTTTGGGGATCGGCTTTAACGATTGGAATCACTTATCGAGGAGAGTCATTCAGTGGTGTTATTTGTGGTGCAACAATAAGAACGGATGGACTAACTCTGTAATGAATTCATTGGGATACTAGGTATAAAGCAGACACGACGGTCAAACAGTGAAAATTCTGTAATCACACCCAACACTACGGTTCATGCAACACAGATGCCTGGCTTGGTTAACAGAAAAAATTGACATCTTGTCTATTGTTGAACTTGCGAAAAGTTCAGTAGCCTCGAACATCAGATTTCAATTTCTCCAAAGAACAATCCCAACTAATAGCCTTGCCTTGGAAGTTCATTAGGTGGACTTCAGTGGATTCTGGAGAAAATCTATCGTGGTAGTCAAGTTACTTATATGTATTGGATTACATTCATCTCTGTGAGTTGGATAGGTAATTGTGATGTGAAAAGATCAGTGAAATCGGTATTGGGTCGGAACTCAGCTGGTTGAGCGTGTGCTGTATCAGAACCGTCGAGGGTGTCGATGCAATCTCAACTGACCTTCTCACAATTTCAATATGCCTTCAATCTACCAAACAATAAGTGCTACTGCCCCTGTGAACTGCCCTAGCTAGACTGTATTCATATTAAAATACTGTTATTGATGTTGTTCTGATGTTTTTGAGCACTTCCAAGAATTTCACGATAGCTACCTATGATAAATTTATTTTTCTTTATTATTTCAAAGTTGTCCAAATATTTGGTAAGACCGAAGGTCATCGAAATTTGACAGAATCGTTGAAATTGTATTGTATGGAACACACTCGATAATCACGTTGCCTTTGACCGTATCAATTGTTGGGTTTCTATTATGAGGATGGTAAAATCAATTAAAAATGTAACTCTCGTCTATGTATGAAATTCAGGTTCAGCATATATTAACGCTTCAGGCAGAGCCGTTCTATGATGACGAAACTGCGGTCTGTCCTTTTTTCTACTGGCACACAACGGACGCATTTACATAGTGTTATCTGACTGACAGGTTGTTGCGCACGGAAAAAAGTTCCCCTGACCCCAGCCTTCGAAGTTCGATGATTTCATATAATAGAAGCTGAGTTTAGTTATCCCCTTGGTAACAGAGTATTTTAACAATTACATCTGTGCAACGCGTTGTGAAACGACCTGGAATAGGTGGTCAGCACGTGCATCAGCCTATGTGCTGTACAGACTTTGGCGGACTGATATAGAACGGCCCACACCCTCAAGAGAGAACAGAGGTATATTTGCAGACATCCGGACGAAAAGAACTTCGATCATTCTGTTAAGGATCATCACAAATTTATCCTTGATAATTTTAGATTCATTAGTTTAGTCATTTTCATCATTTTCACTTGTTCATTATTATCCCCATTTATATTAGATATTTTTTATATTATTGCATGATTGCATGATTATATTTATATAGCTACTATTAATAATAACTAATATAAGTATTATCATAATAATTATACCGACAGTATCATTATACTGCCTTTTAGCCTAAATAAAGATAGTACTTATGAGTAGGATGATAGGCTTCGTAGAAATGAACCGTACATGGGCGTTTCCTGTCAGTTTGCTCAAATTGGATTGGGATCATTGATCTGAACTGGATTTACCGTGGGGTGATTGTACAAAAACTAAGAAGTCGTTTATTTTATTGAATACGATAACCTCTATGGGCAGCCGGAACGAAGTTAAATTTGGGTTGATAGGTGACCGAAGCGATCAATGAATCATAGAGCCTTTTATACTATACTATACTATATTTCGCATCGGAAGTCACATTGCGTCACTATCTAACCGATAAAAGTACATCGTGGCTATGTTGAGACGTATCTGTCTTCAACTCAGTAAAGAAAGTAATACGAAGACTGAAAAAACATATGTGAACGCAAAAAACCATGTCTCAAGGCTGAACACGAACGAAAACCGCGGAAACCATGGTAATTTGCTAGATTTTCGTTCCTCGGTGACACGAATGATGAAAACGGTATACCAGTAGAGACTAGTTCCCCAATATGGTATTGCCGTTGTTATCTCAAATTTTGAACAGAGATCTCCATTAGGAAGAACACCTAATTTCGATAGGCATGGATGATGAATGAACGTAGGGAGATGGAAAGTTAAATAACCAATCACTCACTTCTCCTGTCCCGCTGTGTCCCAAAGTTGAATGGTATACACGGTATTGTCCACACGTAGGTTGCGTGTGCGAAAATCGACACCTGAACAATCGCGCGCAAAGCAAAGGGCGGAACACAACAAACATTTTTGAATTGCAAACCATTGTGCATTTCATCTTCACTCTTAATAATAATAATAATAATAATAATAATAATAATAATAATAATAAATCTAGTACCTACTTTTGTTAGTAAGCCTTAGGTTTTACTCAAACTGGTGAAACGCAGCGAATGATTGTGAAGCATTGACTATTTCGTCTGTTTTGAGCCTCTAGAATGAAAATGAATAAATATCTTTGCTACTAATTAATCAATCAGCAGCTAAATTCTCTGCATGAAAATCATCATGAATCGATAAGACAGTGCCGTAACTTACCTACTGTTGTTCGAAGCTTCGGATAAAATACGCCATCGCAGAATTGATGCATAAAACTGGATTTGCCAACATTGCTGTCGCCTACTAGGATCACCTTGAACATACGTTCGGGGGGTCTCGGTGTCTAAAATTGACGTTGCGACAATAGGTGTGAGACGCTAAAACCTTGATACCTGTTCAAACTTTTCAGAGAGAACTTTGCATTAGTTTTTTCGAGTCATTAGTTAATAAGGCTTGGAGATAGTAGATTATAGCAGAATTAGGCATCGATTGACTTAAATCGAGAGTCGGCTTATCAAATGAGTCGTAAAGTGCGACGAATATCGCTTTATTAATAAACTCCACGGAAAGCTTAGGGTTATGGGCCCATACCTATTAATGACTTGAGACCATCATCATTGAAATATTATCCAATAAATCCGATCTCAGTAGTTCTCATTCCTGTCACAGCGTTCCTCATCTGTGTATTGGTCCACAATTAACAAGAACGATAAATCAAGCTTTGGATCGATTTATTGCAATCGTAGTACGATTTTATTTGAAATAGCTCACACAAGTAAGATTACATGTAATCAAGTTTAAGAGCGATATCACAAAGAGCAGAAATGACATGAAAACGATCTATAAATACGGTAAGCTGAGAATGAGAAATGAGAGAACGAAGTTTATTAACCACAGAAAAAACTGCAGACTGCTACAGCTCACTTCCTAGATGTGGATGTGTCGTCTTTGGCCTCAAAGGCAGCTACCCGGTGACTATAGCTCAGATCACACAGTCTGTTATTGAGAACAGTGTAAATTATTCACTAAAACAAAGCAAATAATAACGCAAAGTTGACATTTTCATCGAACATTTAGTTTTGATGCAAATTTCCTCAAGTCAAATTCGCCTCATAGTACGATGAAGAAGAAACTGTTACTAACAGCAGTTTAGACAACTAGGAAAGGTTCGGTAGGAATAGTGTAAACTTTGATCGTTTTATATGGAGATGATCAATTTAAAATGGTTACTCCTGTGAGGTGAAAAATCATTTCGGCCACCTCTTCGCTATCCAAGTTAATCATTATTCTTTCATGCCTTCTTTCACTGCCTTGCCGGAAATGATATGTCTCATCAAAGCAATGCTCAAGGCGCCTAAAAGAGACATCTTAACCCCTTGAAGAATGGGGTTGGGTTAGACAAGCGAGAGGTAAAGATTCTTAACAGTACAGTGTCATCGAGTCGTGATGAGAACGTCGATTGGCAGAATCCAACGATTCACACTATTCACATCATTTTACCCGACAGCTCAATCGCAAGATTCCGGCTCGCATGAAGTGAGCACAATGTACATGACACGCGTTGTATTTTTGGAACTAAAATACTGTGCAAATAAGGATTAACTTCTCTAGGAAACCTCACTAGCACACACTCTTGAATCTGACTGCAGACGCTCTCGTGTTTCCTTGAATGCCTTTGAAAACAAAACGGTGCTTTTGATTCGGTGATCACGCTATACCATATGATTAACGGTGCATAGAACTCGCATGTCTCCCAATAATTTTGCAAAAATGTCTTTGAATAATTTTGTGATTCGACCACTTTTAATATCTTGATCAACTTGATATCCGTTCTTTTTCGGTATATTGTAATTGACTCTAACCCATCATTTGTTTTGGAGCTTTGAAGAGCTTTCCGCTCTAGCACCAAAACCTATTGAAATATAAAATAGTGATACGTCGTGAGTGAAGATTTAATCCGTTCTGCTGTTTATCACATTTATGACTGATGGTAGTCATAACAAAGTCATAACTAACCTAGAGTTCCAAGTTCAAGTCGAACAACTGCAAACGGACTCCCTCTCTTATGCACATCCTTATCATCGTCATCATCGTCACCATCGTCGTCGTCATTCTCATTCGAATTCGAATTATCATGACAATTCTTCGAATCAATTTTTTACCCTCAATTTAAACAACATTATCATTATTATATTATGTTCATTATCATGACGGGTGTCTGGCTCTTGATTGATTAGGACCAGGTACAGTAGAATCCGCCCACTTGCATACCTCATTCATCACGGGCAACAAAAAAGGGAATGATAAACAATTTGACTGAGCACAAGTTTGGAGAAAGAAAAAATCAAATATCGAACTTGATGTAACCTAATCCTACTGAATGGCAACTCTCCGGTTCAAAAATGCAAGATGAACCAGTACAGATTCACTCCACAAGATCGTCGGGAACACGGTGAGCGAATCGGGCATAGTCGTAAGTGTACACAATAAGTATTCGCACATTTGAACCAACAATTTTCGGAAAATAGTTGCCGCTATGTTCAGTCTTACCTGCACCTCCAATTCATTGACTGAGCGAGTGCTACCCCCGTGTGAAGAGAGACCGTGAATGGCGGAATACAAATCATCATTAGAGCCATTTATTCGTTTTAGAATATCACTGAAATTGGAGAACAAACAGGGTAAAATACACGGTCAAAATAATGTGGGTGGCGTATCCGCAACAACATTGTATTGACTTAATTAGAAAAATTAATCACGCCTTATGTTTTTCTGCGGTTCGGTTCGATTAACTGTGCACCCATGTGACCCATTACACAGATGATCTTTGACCTTTGCCCATCATCATGCCCCGATTTGGTCCGAAGACATACTTTGTACGTTGTTATTACTGTTCTCACATCGTCTCTAAGCGTTCCTCGTCCCACTCATTTGTGCGTCATCTACCCTTATCGCCCTTGAACTCTCGCTGTTCCACTCTTGCCATTCTCGTGCGTCATTACATACGAAATACCCTGGATCCGTTCCCTCACCCACGTTTGATTCTAGTTCATTGTCAACCCGTCCGCTGTATATTGACCTTCATATTTGATCATTCGCTTCACTTTCTTAGCAGACGGCTTTGTTTCACAAGATCCCGTGAACCGTTTGTGTGTCTTGCATTGACCAATGACTGAGCTTCTTTATCGAGCACTTGCGATTGGTGTTTCTATCCCTTAAATTGTCCCTTTTCTAAGCCTAGTTTGCATTCCTTTTGGTGACCGCTCCGCAGGTGTTTTGTTCTCCGCCTTGACCCGCTTTGTATCCTGTTCTTGTAACGTGGAGACCGGATTGGCCCACAATTTCAGGTATGGTGTTTGGTTTTGTACATTTTTGTCTGCTTATAGTACACGTAGATTACCGACTTCTCGTTATCTGGAATCGGACTTGGGGTTCGTATCTACGAATCACTCAACCACTGGACGACAGTCCGGTACAACCATTATGACAAACAAGATAGACAACTAGGTAATTTTGTCTGTTAACGACAGCTGGTGGAATCTAAATCACTGGAACCGAAAATTCCGATCAGAATCTGTTCCACACCTTGAAGCGGTCTCCCCTTGCTTTGGAACTATTTGTCGGTCAGTTTGGTCCGACTCCACGCTGAATAATGGAGCAACCGAATAAACAAGACAATGTCTCATGCACTCTGTCCCTCAGAGGTCACTCCAACCGGTCAGTCTAAAACTGAGCAGTCATTTACTTGCATGGCTGGAACCCCTTTATGGTATATATATGGATATTGTCTATACAATACCTTCAGTTTGATGATCGGATGAGAACTTCCGTACAGCAATAACTTCCTCCCTGAATCCAGTTTGCGGTGAACATACTGCTTTTGTATATGTTCAAACAAGGAAGTTATTGTCAATGCAGTTTTTCATATTTTGTGCTAAATACAAGCCATGCATACAATCGTTTTCAATTTCATGTTTTAGAGCATTTAAAGATTGTTTCATGAGTGCATGGAACGTGCATATGTGAAGGCAAGTCATCACTCATGCCAATTGAAACAGCATCTTTCGAAGCTCAGTTTTCAGACTTACCGATAATCAAACCTATGATACAGGGATAATGAAGCCAGTAAATCCTCTTCAGTGAACCCATAATATCCGTCTCATGATACAACACAATAAAGAATTAACGAATTCAATCTATCAGAATACGGCGCATTACAAGCAAATATTGTGTATGTGTTGAGAAGTAGTCTATAAAATTTGACAAAACATGAAAGATACCTTGCCCGGCCGGTGTAGGCACACCTGGTGATGCTAACTGTATCTGAGCTAGAGTCTGGTTCCAGAACAACGTGAGATGACAGAGCGTTCCAGATGGTAGACCCTCTGATGGCGTTTCAGTCCTCGGTTTTTGGAGCAATAACTAGAATGGATACACTCTGAGTTGCACTTTGGTTTCTTCAGTGTCAACCGTAGAGTACATGACTGGTTAGAGTTTTTGTTGTTCGGCACATGGAAATAAACTTTGCTTGAATTTGGCATTACTGAGCAGACAATCCGACACTTTATGATCACGCTATAACCACCGTGTATGAATGGAGTACTTTGTATGCGTTTGAATGTGCGTTCATCACAAACATTGAAACATTGGTAACCCTGAACGGATAAAAAACGCCTTTAAACAAACTAACGTGTTTAGAGCTGCAAAAGACACCCTGACACATACCGTCAGTTTTCTTGAACGATGATGCCTACGTCTTTCTTAAACGAGATGTGCGGTATTTATCGATTTCCGAATAGGCATAGAGGTCGAACCCTGTGATATAGTAATTCGTCTTCACATTGGGACACAGTAGATTTATTGACGTTCTCGGAAGACCAGTGATGAGCTGCGGTAATTACATGCGTAAATTGATAACCAAACCTCAGGCTGTGTCAAGTTAGCTCATATTTTTAATGCTGTTTGATGATAATATTGCGTACAATGGAGGAAGATTTGATAAGCCAGTTAAGGCAGAAGGGATAAGTCAGGGACCAAACACAAATCGCTGTTAGACCCCACGAGCATGAGTATCCTGTGTAACCCGTTTTCCAGAAAATATCATTCGATGGAGGATCGAAACAGTTGAGAAAGAAAGATATATACAGCATTGTCTCATGAAACGACTCGTTACACTGGCAGACGACGAACCGAAATGGTTTTCTCTGGGCATCCAAAACGCGTAACAGAACACCTATGGTTTGCTTTCTTATGAAACTTGTAGGCTCCCGCCCGGTATTTACCCAAATTCGCATCGGCACATAACACAACGGTTTCTTTTTC